TAGTATCATTGGTAAAAAGGAGTGTGAAAATCACAAAGATTACATTCTTTATGGGTTATTTCTCAGATAGATAAAATAGTTGTTTAGAAAACATCATCCTGTTGTGTCATGAGAAAAGAAAAAAATTCCATATCACAATGGAAAGGACAAAATACATGTGTATGACAGATCAGAATTCTTTAAACATCATCGCTATATCTAAAATGTCATCCATAAAACTAAGTGAGACAAATAAGTAGTACATAAGATGGATTTGAATACATTTTTGCGATTTGTTCTTAAATAAAAAGGCTATTTTGCAGTAGATTTCATTCAAAGCGTCATTATCTACATAAACCACTATTTATTTTCTCCAATCTCTACCTCAATGTCCTTTGTTTTTTGGATTTTCTATTCTATGATGCTTATCTTGTCCTTCTTCTATGAGAATAGTACTGACAGCAGTAGGCATATGACATATTGTATAGATAATCCTCTATAAGATAAGATCCTTTTATACTCATTTAGATGCATGGCTAGCAAAATGGAGTTTTCCTTTATAAATAAACGTTTTCCGAGATTTTCGGCAAAATAGTTTTAGCAGGAAAGACTTCTAATCAAATATTGAAATCATGGTGCCTTTTAGTACATTGCTAAGTGATTCTCATAACAGACACCGTTTGTATGATGTGAATGTGCATAGTATTTTTTTCTACAAAAGGAAAATTAGCTTTAGCAACGACGGAAAATAAAATTTTCTTGCACCTATAACTTCAATTGATAGATATAATTTTTCTATAGAATTGTGGCTTTTGTGTTCGAAACGTTAGTAAAGGTAATTATAAGATAGTTCAGTTCGGATGAAGCACAATGAAAAGACTATAGCACCGTTATACAATAAAATAGTAAATAAAAATATGATGGCTCACAGTTAATATATATAAAAAAGACTGACGTGTGCAAAAGAAAATACTGATGTTTCGTTGACTGAAAGTCTTGAGTTATACGAAATAAATGTCGGCGCTCGTCCATTTCATAAATAACAGGCTGGCCCATTAAACTGCCGCCGGGTGCTCTCGTATATCACAATAACTAGTACATGTGTATAAAGTATATAAAGTATTACATTAGTTACATTTAATCTGTTAAACCATAGGAGGCACAGTCAATAGCCAAACCCTTATATACGGTATCAACATAGGTGTTACATTCATTTAAGCTTTTCTTGTTTGTAATATGGACGTGGAATATTGTTTGTGCTGGTGACTACATTAGATGTGCCGTCCGATCAGAAGAGGGATACTTATACTTGTACTTTTTTCACTTTTCAAGTACAAAGTACAAATACTTGTACTTTAATAATGTAGTTGTACTGAATGTACTGAGTAATGTCGAAAATAAAACTGTCGAAAGCGAAATGTCGAAAGTAAGAATATCGAAAACAACATTATACAAATGATGAAATAAATTTAGAAGAATATTTAGAAGGTTTATCATTTGTTGTTGCTAAAGATAAAACAAAAAAAATAAAAAAATGATTGATTGTTAGATATTTTTTGTTAAACGACTGTTTGTGCAAAATGATTAAAAATATAGTTTCGTCATTTTCCCTTTCCCCCACAACATTATTGCTACTAAGATCTTACCCCTGCCGTCTTCGAACTTTTCAACATTTTTAGTTTTCGACATTACTCAGGTATACCGTTGTACTTGCAATTAAAGTACATTTCAAGTACTTTCGTACTTTTGTCCATTAATAGTTTTTCACATTTTCAAATAATTTTTTAAATATTTTCGGATACATAGACTATTATTCTCGATGTAGAAACGACTCACTAACACTATATACTTTCGATAGATAGTAGAATCAAACAGACATGTTGCGCAGAGAGCGGTACTAGTAGGAAGACTAATGCATGATTTCTAATGCTTGATGATTCGAGTTGGTCTACGCCAGAAAGTACTTCAGCACCATTTGAAAATACGACAAGGTATTAGTGGACAAAAAGTACTTGAAATGTACTTCAGTTGCAAGTACAAGTACATTTTTTAAGTTACTTGCTGTACTTGTTCCCCCTCTGTATCTCATGAGCTGAAAGGTTTGTGTTAATGAGTTACGCTGAACTTTACTAGTCACATATTTGACTGTTTTGTGTGCCATATTCATAGTGTGGCTGATGCTCTCTTATGTACACTCGACTGCTCATTTTTCAAAAATTTCCCTCTTTCTGTCAAGCATATGGCAGGAATGACCTTGTGAGAAGAGCAGAATTAAAGCTTCAAAGTATAGAAATCAGATTACTCATATAAAAAAATGTAACCTGATTTCTATACTTTGAAGCCTTAATTCTGCACTTCTCACAAGGTCATTCCTACCATACGTTTTTCTAAGAAAGAAAGGTCATTGCATGGTTTTCACCGTCTGCACCAGAGTACGAAACCCTCAAAGAGCAAAACTTGATCACCGTTTAGCCTGCTCTGTCTCACCATAAGCTAAGTATTTCGCCTGTATGCAATACTGTGACAAAAGCATGATTTGTTAAAGATTCGGTCTTTAGGAGACAGAGTGTGGGCGGGTGTAATCATCAACAGATGAGATACAAAGTCTGTTCACCAATACAGAGAATAGACTTTCACATCAATGGCATTCGACATAACATCATGTGTGCGAGAGACAAACACGATAGAAGATACCATCCTGATTGGGAATCGAGGATACATCTGCTAATTACCAATCTTTATCTGGTCACAACTTGATACCTCATTCTTCTACGCGGCAGTCTCTTAGACACGTCAAAATAAACGTGTCATAGTCCCATTTTTTTATCTTCAAACTTTCTGTAGAGTCTTCCCATTGTAAAGGTCGTTAAATTGTGGAACAAACTTCCTTCCCCTCCACAATGTGAATTTTCTACACAGCGGGCAGACGTGTAATTTTTATTGCTCGGAGTCCTCTCATTTCTCATAAAAATGGCTTTCAAGCACCCAGAAACTCATATCAATCAGGAACAAACAAAGTCGAAAAAAACATTTTGCTACTCAAAATACCTGAGGTCCTCCTCCTTTGCCCCAAAGAACGAATAGTTTTTTTGTCGAGACATTTTACAAAACATTCAATGCAGTTCCAGTGCGCTGATTTCAATTATGATCTTATTTTTTAATAAAAGTGCCTCTGAGCCGAGAAAATTGGAAAATACCGGAAAAAACTACTATGCAGTCCTGGAATATTTACGCTAATATTGATGATAGAGAATAAGTCGAAGAACTTAGTGGCAAAGCTTGAACAGGCTCTGGGTCTACGCTAAGGAGGGTGCACTGATTTTATTGAATATAGCCGCTGAGAAAATCACTTTAGAAAACTACTAATTTTTTACTCAGAGGTTATAAATCCAAATTAAACAGTCGCTTTAATAATCAATAGCGGATGGTGTGCAGATTCAGAATCTGTGTTGCTTTTACATATCAGTCAGCTGAGTCTTACAAAAAGAATTATTTTGGCTAAAAAATTAGCTAGTTTTTGCTTACTAACCAGTTTTTCATCCTCCTAAAGGTTTGTAATAATATTTTTTGTGTCATCAGATAGAGAATATTTAACTTTAATTTCAACCATGTGCCGAGGACTTTTTCCAAAGTTTGTAAATGGATTCCTAGGTAACTCGACGTGCTTCCACATAACTATAATGGTCTCAATCGATTTAGAATATACATTGTAAAACGTGGTAGAGTTAGTCAGCTGATGTTTTTAATGAAAAAGAAAGTACAAGTCAACAACTTCAAAAAAGGTATACGGAAAAGATCTACAACTTTTATTTCAGCAAACAAATACACGGTTCAGATTAGAGGCCTTCCGCATCCCTTCTTGTCAACATATTTTTGGGGGATTCAAGAGACAGAATTTAAAATTATAATTATCAAGATAAACTCCAAGTATTAATACATTTTATGGATGATATGTTTGAAATTATGATTGGCAATAAAGAAGACATACAGAACATTTTAAGATACATCAGCAAATGGAGACTTTATTCTTCACAGGGCTTTTATACTAAGAAAAGAAACAGTAAGAATAATATAAGCTTTTAATATTTAGACTCGACTCGTTTGTACTAAATAAATTTTGTTTTACAACTACTTTTTCATCATAAAAAATTCAAATTTTGGAAACTTGTCCTCACTATTCGCGTGACTCAAAGAGAATTGGGACAATGAATTTGTTTTTCTCTAGTTAACCATCAGGGGAACGAATGAATAGTAGAAGGTTAGAGACCGCTTCAGAAGATCGAATTACCAAAATAATTTGGTAACATCCGACGTAAATATTAACAACTGTGTTCAGATACGAAATTACAGAAAGACAGTTAAAACCTTGAGCTTATTACGTTTTATACGCGGCAAATACTTGCGTTGATCACGATAGAAATATCTATATGCTGCCTGCCTTGTTACGTTCATTTTACAATAAAAGGTAGGTGAAAGGTATGTCTCGTATTGCTGTATGAAACGTTATTTTTAGCTCTCTATACTGACCTTAGTACATTTCTTTTTTTCACTCTTTTCTATACCTTTTTTCCTTTTCCTTCAAGATAAGCATTTATTCACGCTGTATTCTGTTCGAAAGAAGTGTATATTTTTAGCTCTATGATTCGTCTTATAATAATAAGCTCAATTTCATTAGTATTACCGATGTTATTTGTTTTTTTGTCTGTAAGAGATACAACACTAAGACAATTTTCATTCACACCACAACGTATTATCTACACTCGTGTGCCCAAATGTGGTAGTACAACATTACTTCGTTTATTTCAAGATCAGAGTCAAATAATGAATTTTAATGTTGCTGTTCGTGGACCCGCATGGACATATCAATTAAATACTGAAGAACGAAAAAGATATATTATGGAAATTAACAATTTACAACCATTCACTATATTCATACGTCATATTTATTTTGTCAATTTTGGTTTTCAACAGTCATCATCATCTTCATTAGGCCATATTAGTTTAATACGTGATCCCATAAAACGTATCATATCACAATATTATTTTGTGCGTCATAGATGCTTACATGACAAAATTTGTCCAGGAAAATTTAATAAAGCTTATATAAATCAAACATTAGATGAATGTTTAGAACACAGTACGTACAAATGTATATCAATGGTTAATGGTGTATCAAATATGATTGGATTTTTTTGTGGACAATCTCTTTTTTGTAATGACTTAAATTCCGTAAAACCATTGAAGAAAGCAAAATTAAATATCATACAATATTATACAATGGTAGGCATGTTGGAACAATTGGATCAATTTCTCTATGTTTTAAATCATCAGATGCCAAGATATTTTGATAATATTCATCACTTATACAAAGCAAGAAAATCTCCACGTAAAAATAAATCGGCTAAACCTCCACACTTACCTAGTAATCATACAATAAAAAAATTAAAAATATTATTGAAAAATGAATATGAACTATATGAATTTGTTTACAAACGATTCAATGAACAATATACTAAGTTGATCAAAACTTATTCTACAAACTCCAATATGACACGGTAGACAAATGAAGAATGAAAATAAACAAAATAACAATCGAAAATTCAACAATTAACAAAAATTATAAGTCAGAAAATGTTTCGCGTCCTAGAAACAAATAAAAATATCTTCTTATAAAACAAATGAATAATGAGATCGATACTTGTGTAGTGGATATTCTTTGTTATTAGTCGACAATGTGAACATACCTTTCTCTGGCTCAGGCAAACAGAACAATCTTCATGTGACACAGCTAATTAATTATGGAGTTCAATTATTGTCAGACAAGATAAGATGAGAATCATAAGTAGTTGAAAATAGAAATCATTACTTTGATATAGTCAGGGTTACCAAATCTTCCGATTTTGAGCTTCTTTTTCGAATGAATTTTGATTTTCCGATTTCTGAACTTTTTTACTTTTCTCTGTACGTATTCGCAAAAGAATTCAACTAATTAACATGACGTCATACAGCAGTTCTTAAAGCAGTTCTTTTTTTTCTTTTTTCATGTGTGTCACATATATGATAGATATATCTGTGTTTATTTGAACGATAAACGCACATGTCATGAGTCAGTTCTATGATATATATTGGTATAGTACAGACAAAATCAGCTTACCCCCATATGAGACAATAAAATATAGTTGTAAAAGAGATAATAAACTCTGACGTTTAAATTGAGATAAAGAATCTTAGTATTCCAAAAGAGATACTAAAGGCAAATGCCCTAAGTGAGATAATAAAATGAGACAAAATAACAAATTCAAAAGAGATAATAAATTTTAACTAGAATAATAGAACAATATATGTGACGTTTGTATACTGTGTATAATTACGTGCATCTATTTGGCAAATTGATCCGAAAGCGACATGCCCGAATCGAACAACATTATACAAATGGAACTTTTAGTTAGTAGCATTTAGTAAAATGCATGAAATGCTCATTTACTACGAGATCGCTGAACGCTTTGCTACTAGCCACTGTTATTCACATTTTGGATACGTTCTCTTATCTAAATAGAGCACGTGTTTTTGAACAAAGTCTCACCAGTTTCGGTGGAACTAGCTACTCAGGCTATTGTTCTTCAGTATCCTACTTGAATGGATATGATGGTGGTGTCGGCTATGATACGTCAGTTTTATATGATGGTAGTTACGATGGAGGTCAGTAGCCATATTGTAGCCAAAGCTTACAATTCATTGTACGAACATGAAAAAACAACAACAAAAAAGGATAATGAAGATGGTGTTCTATTGTAATTGTTCTAGTATTCTAGTTAAAATTTATTATCTCTTTTGAATTTGTTATTTTGTCTCATTTTATTATCTCACTTGGGGCATTTGACTTTAGTATCTCTTCTGAAATACTAAGATTCGTTATCTCAATTTAAACGTCAGAGTTTATTATCTCTTTTTAAACTACATTTTATCGTCTCTTTTGGGTACGCTCAGTTTATTGACTCATATGGGGGTAGCCGAAAAAATCTATTTATTTCTTTTTTTATACATGATAGCATAGTCTAGTTATTGATATCTAGCTGTTAACTAATTTTGTTCAAAAGTCGTTGAAAGATCGTATACTTTTTGGCATGATGACATCATCGAGGACAGGGAACATTTCCGAGAATGACATTCCATGAGGTTCGGCTAAGAATAACGATAAAAAAATACAAGCGTCACTAGAAAACGTAAACGCAACAGTATTTCTGGCACAAAAATGCAATCACTGCTTGAAATATTAGATTTTTTTAACTGTTGGTTGAATGTGTATTTTCTGTTGAAAAACGAACATATTTTGCTATAACAGAATATGTCTGGTATCTTTACCTTTGTAAGATATTCTGAAAAAAATTATTCGTCTGATTTTTAATACCTCTTCTTTCCGACTTCTTCCAGTTTTAACGGATTTTTTTGGAAACTGTAGATTTTACAGTTGGCACCCCCGGATATGGCGTACATTGCGTCAGTTTTGTTTTGTTGCTAGAAATGTATTTTTTGGAATCAGTCACGAACCGTCTTGTCGATAGGGTCCGGCGGGATGAAGTTTTTTCGCCCCGATCCCGGTCCCGTTCCAACCGGACTAAACCCGTCCCGATCCCGCCCCAACTGGACGAAGCCCGTCCCGATCCCGAACCCTTTTCTTAACGGGAAAACCCATCCCGGTCCCGTTTAAACCCGGTTTTTGCGAATCTGCCAGAGATATTTTTCAAACACATGTCAAATGAGATACCACTCGATAGCATTGCATCCTATTATGATTTTTCGACC